AATGCAATGTTTATAGTGTTGCTTTAATGGCTCTTTGTATGTACATTGTTGAATTGTTATGTCTACCTGCCATGTACAATTAGGGGCCGGGGTGTAAGAGCCATTATGTTTTGTAATGCTGTTTTGACCACTGGGTGGAGTGGGGGTTTGGAGGAGTATATAGGTAGACAAAGACTTAGAACAACAGGTGTGTAATTAGAGGGAAGCACAACATTTTTTGACCGTGTTTGAAAGAGCTTTATTGAGGCATTCAATGTGATTTTATGAGCATTTATATACCAGACTGTAAGTGGAAATTGAGCCATAAGAACTGTCTGTGCAAAAAATAAATCTGATAAGCAGTATTTGGAGGATGATTCGTTTGTTGAGCTCTCACGCGTCAGAAACAACCCTACAACACCTCAAGTGACAAAATGGTCATTTGTGTCACTACAGCTGTTACCATTTAGCTCACCATGCAGGCCTGTAGCCGAGAGGTTGTTGGGGGGGGATATCCCCTATATGAGCTTATTTAGTGATTACAAAATATAAAAATTGACTGTGGAAAGTTGAATAAGCTAGCTAATTTGTTATTATAGGCTACAGTTTTTTATTTTAAAATAGGTTCTATCCTTATGGATGATACTAAATTTGTATTTACAATTGGCATAAGTATTTTTTTTTCCTTTTTAATGCTAATCTCATAACAATTTAAATTGTAAATAAACTGGAAATATTTTTGGTGCAACTAAAAAGTGTGATTATGATCCAAGGTTATAATAGTTTTAGATCTTTATTAGTTTTAGTTTCTATTTTGTTTTCATAGGTTTTTAGAGGCAGATTTACTAGTTTTTATTAGTTTCTGTATTTCTATATTAGTTCAGTTTTCGTTTAGTTTTTAAAAGCTTCCGTATTAGTTTTAGTTTTTTTTTCTAAATAGGGATAGTTTTGGTGCGAGATTCAAAATCATCAGATTAAAAACTCCGCCATACATTTTTTGAAACCTGTATTCAGAGGAGACATTACCGCGTAAGCAACAGCAAGGATGATTGGAAGAGAACCAGTTCGATCTGGCCAATGTCAGCAGGACTACTCTGAGGTACGGGTCAAACACCTGCAGCGCTTAGGCTTACAGTAAGATTATTTATTACATACATTTACAAAGACGTAAACGAATGAGGTTTTTGCTATATTTTTTGTTAGTTTTAGTTAGTTTTGTATGTACACAATACAGTTTCAGTTCTAGTTAAAAAAAACTTGTTTTTATTTTTATTTCAGTTGAAGACAATTATTTTAAATTTTAGTTTTAGTTTTTTATTTACTTTTTATTCGTGAACTATGCGCTTGTTAAGTCGTGATGTATCAGGGATGTAATATTGTTTCCGGGTTTAAGCAGCTACTCATAAGAACTGAGAAAATATTTGTTTATGATCACTTTTTAGTCCTATCACACTTTAAAGTAAATTTTATTTACAGTCATAGTGTACACAACAGTCTCTGGATTTGCTGCATCACAAATCACAAATTTGTAAAAAATTAATTACTTTTTGTCTATCGGATATTAGGCATGCATATATATTGTGATCGTTATTTTCGAAAGTATTACATCGCTTTATAAATGTTTATTATTACCATTTGATAAACCTCCCCAATCAGTTTGATAGAGAGCTTTGACCCGGAAGCTGCTTTGCATGACGTCACGCTTAACAAGCAAATAATAACCTTGTTATGATCACCATCCCATAAGCGAATCCATCAACGATTAGTTCTTAAAATGTAACTAAAATTCATAATTGAATTTAATTTGCTTTCTTTTTCTGAATAGCTTTTTTGTTGTTGTTGGGTTTAGGGAAGTGGGCGGGCGAATCAGTCCTTTCGAAAACACTATTGGTTGGGTTTAGGGAAGGAGGAGGGTGGGTCAGTCAATTGGCCATTTAGTCAGTCGACAGCAGCCTCTAGTGGATTTATGAGAGAACAGCAGGTGTGAATGACACTCGTGAGAGAAATTGGAGATCTGAAAAAGTGTACACAGCGGCCTCACAATCATTTTAAAAATGAACCCACTCTCAGAAAGTTTTGCTGGATTGTTGGAAAGAAGTAAAAGAACAATAGAAACAACAGAGGTTTGCTTTTAGAGTTTTGTAAGGGTGTATTAGCACACATCTTACAGCAGTGCTCATGTTACAGTGTAATTAGGTGTAATTACATAACAACGACCACTTATTAGATAAACCTTGATTAGACACAATGCCTACTGAAACCCATTAAAATGATGAAGAAAACATTCATGCAGGTTCTCATTTTGTGGGGAATGCTTCAAAATGTATAGTTTTTTATTTGCAGAGCACTTTTAACAATATTATGTGGGGTTGTTGGTGTCTAATAAATTGGTACCTAATAAATCCAAATTATATCAGTAGTAGTTTTGTTTTCATGTGACGTTGCACAAAAATAATGATAAACCTTTTTATGATTATTGACTTATCCAAGTCCATATAATCATAGTAATCATTTATTCATTCTTTTTTTTCGGCCTATTCCTTTTATTAATCATGGGTCGCTACAGCGGAATGAACTGCTAACTTATCCAGCATATGTTTTATGCAGCGGTTGTCCTTCTAGCTGCAACCCATCACTGGGAAACATCCATACACACTCTCATTCACACACACACTACGGACAATTTTAGTTTACCCAATCCACCCATAACACATGTCTTTGGACTGTGGGGAAACTGGAGCACCAAGAGAAAACCCACACGAACAGTGGGAGAACATGTAAATTCCACACAGAAATGCCAACTGACCCAGCCGAGGCTCGAACCAGTGACCTTCTTGCTGTGAGGCGATCGTGCTACCCACTGCGCCGCCGTGACACCCAATAATAGTAGTAATAACAATAATATTCTGCTCAAACCCAAGTATATAGAACAACTTTATTTATTTTTTCATTGACAAAACAATTAAAATATATATATATTTTTTTAAATGAGATAAATCAACACAATTCTTGAGGTTTTTTGAGAGGACAAATGAATTGTTTTATGTTCAATCCAGTTAAATTTGTAAAAAAAAAAAATTAAGTTAAGTTAATTGGTTTGTGTTAGAACAACATGAAATAATTGTGTGGAACCCAGCATTTTTACAGTGTATGTAAACAAACTGTAATTTAAAGGGTTAAGATATTTATTTTTAGAAGTTATCATCATTACTAATCAGTGTTGCATAAGTTTTTTCAAAAAGAAAGTAATTAATTGCTTATTACTTTCCCAGAGATGGGTTGCAGCTGGAAGGGCATCCGCTGCATAAAAACATGCGCTGGATAAGTTAGCGGTTCATTCCGCTGTGGCGACCCCTGATTAATAAAGAGACTAAAGCCTGGTATATACTTCTGCGTCAAGTGACTGGCGTAGCTAATGGCGCATGCAACACGCGTAGCTGTGCATTTATACTTCTGTCTCTGTTGATCTGCATTAACACCTCCAAAATGCTAGTTGGCAGTGAGGTGTTAATGGTTCTCTGTTGTCGAGTTTCTTCGCCTGGGTTTTGTACTTTCTGAACGCTTCAGGGATATACAAGTGACTCAAACTCACTCATTTTGAGGCAGGAACCGGTGGACGTGCAACAACTTTAACTATGAGGTAAACACAAAACAAAACTTTCCATCAGGAGCTCCTTCGCGGGACTCCACACATGTAAACAATCGCGGCTCTCGGTCCCGCTCAGACTCGTCAGCACTACCAAGCCAACCAATCACAAAGCTTGCACTACGGGTCGTTGCGACGTGAAGTTACATTTTTTGAGAGGTGCACGTCAGCGACGCCGACGGCCACGACGTACGGCTATGCCTCAGCGGTATGTGGCTGCATTTCATCTTTAAAGCGATCGCTGCGTGGCGGTATAATGTCATTCCTTTTCGTGTTTACCAGTGACAGCTTACCTCTTTGTGGACAGCTTTTTCACTGTTACTAATTTGCCCAGTGGCTCACCATGTACGTTGGTGGACTTGTGACGTGGAGCGGAGTTGACTGTGATGACAGGGTTTAGGTCCAGCCAAGAACGATTCCAGCACACATTTAAGACAAAAATAACAGCCAAAAAATAAAATAAACAACTAAATCGGCGGGTCAATCGGTGCTTTTAAAAAGTAGGGTTTAGGGAAGGAGGACGGTGGGTCAGTCGATCAGTCAGTGAGTCGACAGTGGCCTCTGGTGGATTTAAGCGAGAACAGCAGGTGCAAATGGCACTTGTGAGAGAAATTTGAGATCTGCTCAAGCATACACAGCGGCCTCTGGTGGGTTCACAAAAACAAATACTGCTTCTGGGACATATTTATTTTTCTCCACAAATGTATACAGCATTACATTTTCAGAATGAACCTCGATATTTGCATTTTTGTAAAGTATAAGAAACGGAAATTAAATGACATAAAATGAACAGTAATCCTTTATGTGTGTGTGTGTGTGTGTGTGTGTGTGTGTGTGTGTGTGTGTGTGTGTGTGTGTGTGTGTGTGTGTGTGTGTGCGTGCTTGTGTGTTTGTATGTGCATGTATGTGTGTGTGTGTGTAAAAAAGTAATTAAATTACAGCATCTAGTTACTTTTCCAAAAATAGGACTAACGCTGGTCAAGAAATCTCAGTAATCTCAGATAAGTCAGAACAAGTTTAAAAGATAAAAAACTTTTATGATGTTTTTGATATTTATATACTCTATCCTGATTATAGCTCAGAAAGAAGTGACTTATAAATCACCATTAGGGCCAGACAAAATCTCTGGATCTTTAGTATTTCTGCGCTGTATTTTGTAAAAGCATCTCATAAAGCAAAAAAATATATATAAATAACAAAAAATAAGTTCTTGTATCATAACTAATTTTATTTAAAGTTTTCATAGCAAATTCAATTTGAAGAGCCACACCCTGTGTTGGTTTGTATCACCTGGTAACAGGATGCCAAACCCTTGCTCCTATTCGCTTACAGGTCTCCGCCCACATTTACATACAACAGCTCTCATATAAAACCAGCATCCGGAGTCTCATTGTCACATTCACACAGAGACACTGGACTGAGACCGACCACAATGTCTAATATTGCAAAAGTGCTTTCCAGGAGACAGGACAGAGGAGAAGGGCTGGGGACAAATGAGAAGGCCATTCCCTACAACAAGCAGGACTACCAAAGCCTGAAGCAGGAATGTCTGGCTAAAAGAGCCTTGTTTTGTGACCCAACTTTCCCCGCTGAATCTGACTCTCTGGGGTACAATGAACTGGGACGATACTCCTTTAAAACCAAAGGAGTGCAGTGGAAGAGACCCAAGGTAATGTGCGTGTGTGTGTGTGTTTGCTTTCTTTGCACAGGTGGAGTTTAAGCAAATAAAAGGTGTGTTTTTGATGCTTGTGAGTGTTTAATAGAATATGTTTGTACTTGATAAAATCATTAAAATGCCATTAAAATCCATTTGTTTGCTCAGAGTCCAGAATAAAAGGCTCATTCAAACTTTATTCAGTGTAAATATCAGTAATAAATATTAATATGACATTAAGTAAGCTTAGACTGAAATTTTTTTGTCTCCCTTGTGTGTTTTTAGAATTCATTTCTATGTGATTCCTTTTATAAAATACTTAAGTTTTATCATATTTATCTAATAAATGTATAGAAATGAGGGTTGATTCAATGTAAAAGAGTAACTCAATGTGAAATTATATGAAGGGAAAAAACATTTTTTATATTGTTATTGTTGTCTTTGTGGCATTTAAAGTGTTTTTTCCAGCATAAATTAACCATTTCCAAGTAAAAAAAAAATAAAAAAACATGTTAAGATTCAATCTATATTAAGTGTATTTAAAAAAAACAACTTTTGACAATATAATAATACAAAAACTATATTATATATTTTTTATATTTATTATATATATATTAAATATTTTATATATATATTTTCACACTTAATCAAGTTCATTTTGATGTCAGTAAATTAAATGTATAAAAATGCTGATTTTTATGTATTTATTTTGCTCTATTTTAAAATAATTTCTCTTTTAGCTTGTATTTAACGTTTCCAAAACGATTAAACAAAATTCAATAACACTTAAGTAACAATTCACATCATTAACTACTGACTTATTACCTGCCTATTATTCAAATATTTACTGTTTATTAGTACTTATAAAGTATGATCTTATTCTACATTCTAAATACAAAATACTATCACAATAACTATTACCTTAATAATTATTAATAAACAGAAAATTTGTTGTAAATTGAGCTAATAGTGTCAGTTAATGGTTTGTCAATGGTGTGAATTGTGCATAAAAATAAAGCATGAGCATATGAATGTGTGTATGCACATAAATATTTGAATAAGTGCGTGTACTGATATAATCACATGGAAAATGATGGTTACTCAGTTTCCTCTTCAGGCGTATTAGGGTTTCTGTTATCGTGTGTTGATACTAATAACAACCAGTCTCAGCAGTCTGCTTTGTTATATAAATAGGGCTTTTCTTTCTTCTCATTTTATACGTAAATGTTAGTTCACCTGAAGCATATTCACCTTACAGTATGCGCTGTTTGCTTAGAGCAAATAAAGAGTGTTTTGTTATGCAGGTGTACCACTATACAGCGTAATATTATCAACTCTAATTGTTTTCATATTTTTAAAGGAGCTGTGCTCAAACCCTGAGTTCATCATGGACGGGGCCAATCGGACAGACATCTGCCAGGGAGCTTTAGGTGAGAAAAGATCCGTTATCCAATAGTGACCGGGTGTGGCTGTAATACAATAGAGCATCAATGATTAAAGGACAGACACTGTGGACAAAACATTACTCTTCATGCACCTGTCAGTAATGAGAAGTCCTTTTTTTCATCCTAATGTAAACAAAACATGCAAAAAACTTTAAGTGTTAGTTTTAGTGCATTTTATCAATGTGTGTCTGTACATTGCAAACAACTATCTGAATACAAGAAATCGATGAATGACTTAAGAAGATACAGGCTAGAAACAAGGCAAATTATCTGCCAGTGCAGTAACTTCAATCTTTGTTTTCGAAAATACTATTGGTTGGGTTTAGGGAAGAATGAGTGTGGGTCAGTCTATCGATCAGTCAGTCATTCAGTCAGTCGACAGCGGCCTCTGGTGAATTTATGTGAGAACAGCGGGCACGAATGGCACTCTCGAGAGAAATTTCAAATCTGAAAAATCGTACAGCGGCCTTTCATGGATTTGCGAAAAACAAAAACCACAAAAAACATAGCTCCTGGGATGTATTTGATGGTCTACAAAAATGTACATTAAGGTACGATTTCAGAATGAGCCGGGGTTGTTATACTTGGTTAGATGTCTTGAAAAAAAAACTAAAAATTATTATTTTTTGTTTTTTAAACATTCAAAGCACAATGACTTACAAATGATGACCAACCAACAACACAACAATTGACTATAAAAGATACAATATACAAACAATACATAAGAAAGTAAAATAATAATAGATAAATACAATGAGCCAATAATAATAATAGAAATTAAAGGAAAATACTATTTCCTGCAGAATTTATGTCTTTAAAATAATCTATGAAAGGTTTCCAGATTTGATAGAATTTGTTGATTGAACTTTGTAGTAAAGTTCGTTGTTGTGGGAAGAAGAGAGGGTCAGGTGAGCAAAATCTATTATTATATTTTAGATTGCAACACACGTGAGGCTGTGTGTGTGTGTGTGTGTGTGTGCGTGCGTGCGTGCGTGCGTGCGTGCGTGTGTGCTCTCTCTTCTCTCCCGACTGCTACTCAAGAAGGGAGTCTCTTCGGCGGCCTAATCACCAGAAAGACAGGTGTTATTTATCATTTCTGATTGACCTGCTGATTAGCCGCCGGGCTCCGAGCATGCTCTCCCCCCTTATTGCGTGTTAGATCACGCTTACCACTCCACAAACTTCTTCCTTTCTTAGGGAGAATCTGATTTTCTCCAGTTCCAAATGTTTTAATACATCCCCTTATTAGACGTATATAGAAGCAGCTTTTTTGTTTCCAGTTTAATATTATTAACCTCTGTAGTACACTGACAAATGGAACTATATTTTGTTCTGTGCTGTGTTTAGCTATCTAAAAATCAGTAATGCCTAGAACAGCAATAAGGGCGTCTGGTTCTATCTGCCTTAGACATATTAATTTTTTTAATGGTCAAACTTAAATCAAGTTATTATTACCGATAAAAATCAACTTCTAAAGAACAAAGCTGGTCTTGATTTTGTCTCTGGTTGTAAGAAAGCTAAATTTGCAGGCACATAAGTTTTACTAAGTAAGAAAAAAGGAGGAGAAATAATCTTAAAACAACTGTGTAAAATAATCTTACACAATCTGATTTATTCTTAAAACAAAATCAATACGATTTTTGGGGCTAGAAAAACGACACAAGATAGATACAAGATTTTATTCTACAAAATGTTCACAGTATTTCTTGAGATATGGAGTGATAAATAAGCAATTCCCCTTAGAAAATATATTATTGTTTATTTAGCCCTTTTCAAGTGGAAATTTCCCAAAGTTAAAAGTGATCATGTCTCCAAAATCTGTCATTTGGCTTCCAGCAAATAAATCAGACTTATCCACAATTCCCTGCTTTGACTTGATAAATAAAACAAGATTTTTGAACCTGAAATTATCCAAAGTTCAGGTGTTAGAAATGTATGCAACTTAGTTTATATTGTATTAGAAAATGCCTCCTTTACATAACATAATATAACATTTCAGAATATTTGTAATGCAAAAAATAAAAAAATAAAAAAACATTGTAAATGATTAAAAGCGAGCAATCATGTTTTTCTCACCATACTGTAAGTAGTCATTTAGAATGGCTAAAGGCAAAGAAGAGCTGATAGAGATCAGGCTGGCTTAGATGTGTGTACATCATGGCTCTGTATTTGAGTCACATGGTCAAGAAACAAGATAAAACAAGATTATAATTGTCTCTTTTTTCTCTCTTCTTATTTACTTTTTATTTATCTTATTTATGGGTTGTTTTATGGAGACTTATTTGCTAGTTTCAAGGATGGAAACTTTTGTATTGGGGCTCAATATTTAAAGAAGGGATGTCTTAAATGTCAATTACTGAATTTTATTTTGGTCCAAGCCAAATTAGCGGTGTACATGAGCATAAAGAACAAGATTTAAAAGATGTCTTGGAAAAAATGTTGTTTTGTTTTCTTCTTTTTTGAAGTCAAAAGCCGATCTTGTCTTTTTTTAATTGAAAAAGTTTAACAAAAGTGCACTGTGTTTTTAAAAGGAGAACTGCTTTTTATACACGTGTTATATTTATGCTAGAATTTTGGATTTGGGGTTTTATATATTGTGAATCTGTTTTTGTCATTTGTAAAAAAGGGGAATTCACAAGTGTAGCCATTCAATTAGTAATTTTTACACTAAAAACTTATGACAACAAATGTTTTATGCTACTTTAACTTAATTTCCTAAGTTAATCAGCTTTCAACTACCTTTGTTTAGCTATAGAAATTAACATAATATGCAGTCTGACTGAAGTTAAGATGACTAGAAAGGTTCATTTGAGTCAACTAAAAACCTATAGGGGTAAACGGGATGAACATTAGCGATTACCATTTATTTCACGATATACATATTTAAACAGGTACCATAGTTATTGAGATTTTTTTAACAAACTTAAATACTTCAGAAATTAAAACTTCAGAAATTCCTTGTACTCAGATCTAGATAAGCATGGATTCATTCCTTTTCCTTTGACTTAGTCTCTTATTTATCAGGGGTCACCAAAGCGGAATAAACCGCCAACTATTCAGGCAAATGTTTTACGCAGCAAATAACCTTCCAGCGACAACCCAGTACTGGGAAACTAGATAAACATACTTACTAAAATATGAATTTAGATTATTCTTTTTTTGACAACAAATTCCCCTTCAGGTCAAATTTAATTTATTAAAAAATAAATACCACTTACATCCTAAATATGACAAATTAAATATGTAAACACAAAAGGGCTTTTGAAAAATTCCAAGCGTTTCCCTCAGTTTCATGTAATCTATGCTCACTTATTTACATGTCACGCGATAAACTGAATAAAATAATTACCATACACTGTCATATTGCCCCCAGCCCTATTCATTCAGCAATCCTACAACCTGAACCACTGTCTAAAAAAACCTTACAAGGTGTTTATTTACCTGTATGACATGTTTGCTTTATGTTGACATGAGCACACTTTCCTCCACCCCAAACTCACACAGGCTCCTATTGTGTAGCACTAAAGACCATGACTGCTAAATTAAATCGTTACATTAGAAAAGACAATGATGCACGCAGCTTTTGATAATGCGATAAAAATGACTCACTTGAACAAAAAGAGATGTGTAAAATGAGCCAATGTCTCCAAGCAGACAGAAACCTGATGGAAAGTAATATGAGATGGGAGGACATTTTTCATCCGTCTTGCATTGGTGTTTAAAAGATATTTGATAGGTGCCTAAACATAGACGTCTTGGCTTAAACAAGGCAAAATTTGGGCTGTCAGTGAAAATCTAATAGACTTCTAGTTCATAAATCAGGTCATCAAATACACTCAAAACATTATTTTTGCTACTTGTACATACTTATGTAAAATAAGCCGAATTAACACAATTCTTCCGTTTTTGTGGGGACAGCATCATTATTTTATGTTCAATTTAAGTTGATTGAACATTTAAAAAAAGCTGTCGTTAAGAATACTCAACAGTTGTGTTGTTTCAACACATTTTAAATTAGTTGTTTGAACAAAATTTGGTAACACTTTATTTTGATGGTCCATTTGATTATTACTGTCTGCTTGATATCTGCTGATTTTGCTCCTTCAACAGACATTTAACTGACTATAAGAAACTTTGCAAGTACATGTCAACTTACCCTAACCCTAGCCCCAACCTAACAGTCTACTTATAATATAATGAGAATTAGTTGACATGTAGATGAAATGTAACTTAATTCAACAAATGGACCATCAAAATAAAGTGTGACCGAACCAACAGCAAAAGTCCTTGTGTGCAGTGTGCAGATTAGACGTAACTCACAGGTGTAGTGATTCCTTCTTATCTATTTGTTTACATTGTTAGATGTCTATTAGATTTTCACTGACAGCCCAGATTTAGCATTGTTTTAGCCTATTATAGTAATAAACACAAAATGGTTTGGTGGACAAGCTTAGAATGTGTATGCTTGTAAGCAAATATTCTCTGGGGAATGCAATACATATGTAAAAAAGAAGTGAGAAGTTGTGTGGGCGAATATAAAATTTGACTGGGGATTGCAATACGTTTGCTATATAACAAATGTTGTGGTGGCAAATTCCAAATTTCTTGGAGGAGTCTCTATAATATTCTGGTGTTTAGCTTAAGTTCCTCTATCAGTTTAAGTTGATTGGCCTTTTTCATTTGCTTTGTTATTGTCTTATTAAGCATTGTTTCAATGATACCTCAGATACTGTAATTTCTCCACATATGAACAACTCTGCCCATTTTATTTTCCTTTAGCTATTCTCCACTCCATTCAAGCCGGTCAGAATGATCATATCAATAGTACAAATAAAGAGTTCAGATGCAAAGGCCTGATGTTTGAAATTTAGTTTTACAACCTCAAAATATATGTTTATGTTTATATGTTTATAAAACAAATATGTTTATGTTTATCTATTTTACTTTAAAGGCAAAGATTTATTGCCATAGAAAGGTGAAATTAATGAACCTACTCAGAGGAACCTGAAAAAAGGCTTATTTTAGATTAATATTTCATATGGCACTTAAGAGAGAACTCTTTAAGTGAAGTTTAATATATTAAACTAATTCCAATGGCTCTGGCTTCTTGCTGGAACATCTGGCATATCTGCGCGGAGCTGGCACGTTCTCCCCATGTCCGCGTGGGTTTCCCCCGGGGGTCCCCGGTTTCCTCTCAAGGCCCGAATACGCTCCACATTATAGACCAAATAAACCTAAGTCTCTTTTACAAGATGTCTCGCTCTCAGGAAGTTCACATTGGCCTTAGCTGCGGGGGAAGTTTTAAAATCATAATGTGCTCAATCTCCCCTCGCCCTGCAAAGGGAGGGAGCCCTGGACTCGAGGATCCCTGGAGCTCAGGGCTCTCTCCCAGGACAGCATACCAAACAAGCTTTTGTAAATCATGAGTTAAGTGTGAACTCTTAAAATGTTCTGTGTCAGCACAAGTGACTTTACCTATCATGTTTTATACCATTTTAAACATCAATGTGCGACTTGTACATTCACAGAAATAAACATATAAAAAATAAACAAATAAATAGTATACGTGTCACATGGGTCTAACACAGTGGTTCTCAAACTGCGGTATGTGTACCACTAGTGGTACGCGGGCTTCCTTCTAGTGGTATGTGGAGGAATCAAATATGTCAAATATGCTACATATATTTCAAAATTTATCAAAAATGATTTATATATGAATATGACATATAATGATATTTATTATATGACATATAGCCTGTATTTCTGGGGTCCAGGCAACATTTTCAGGTGTTGATGAATTGGCTACTATGCTAATACTTTACATTTAAGTACAGCACTTTTCTTTTTACCCTAAGCACATTTTAATTTAAATGTTGGCGTTTTTAGTTTGTTTTTTTACATTTAAGCACAGTACAGTGTTAACTTTCAGACTAATTATGTTTAAAGTGGCTGACAATAATAAATATTCTTAATAACAGGAATTAATCTGCCACGTTTTTTAACTGTACAGAGCTGTAGCTGCTTTACTGGGCTTACTATGCTACTGTATTTCAATACTGCTCATTATGGCGGTACTTGGAAAGACAATTTTTTTCTGAGGTGATACTTGATGAAAAAAGTTTGAGGACCCCTGGTCTAACAGACAACAAACAAAAAAACAAAAATCACACATTGGTTATTTAAAACATCTACAAGTCTGTGTTTCGATTTCTTAATCAGTTATATTATTTTAAACAAATTTAGAGAAATAATTTCTTTAAACAGCAACTTTGTTTGTAGATTTATCCATGGAAAAGATGCTGCGTATTTAAAAGCCTTTTTTCCCATCTCAGTCTGCACTTTAGAAACAGACAGTACATAATTATCCTGTGATCGATGGCCATAGCTGAGGACAGTTTTTTTAACAAACGTAATTCTGGAGATTTTATAGGAGTAAACACAATATAGATTTGTAAACAAAGATATGTCAATGCTTGAGCCTACAGATGTACAAAGCAGACCAACCTACCCTAGTAAACAATGATGAGTAAGAAATTTAAAACTAGTTATAAATATTAGTGCACCATGGTAAACAGTATTTAATACATGCAGACTTGTATATAGATAACATAACCATAGTCCAATATCGACATAAATGTTGCATCAACCAGCTTCTTTTTAACATCAAAAGAAAGGCAGGCTTTAATTCTAAAATAGAACATTGAAATCACTTTGATTTTTTACCAATTGCTGAATGTGAGAACCAAATGAAAGAGTATCATCAATTAAAATTCCAAGATATTTGTACTTATATTTGTATAATCCCAACAAAAATTTGTAATATTTAACCCACTGCAAAAGGTATCCCCTTATCTGTTGTCTTCAACTCAAATTACCTCGTTCCCCTGAAGTCACAAACTCTTCAGATCTAAAGCATTCCACAATGCAAATTCCCATTGTTATACAAGCACCTGGGGGATATTCAGTCTGTTTAAAAAAAAAGAGACTCTTTAGGGCGATTCTGTAGCTAGGTCAATTTTAAGCTTATAAACTCCATACTATAGCTCTCAAAAGATAGGTATGCACCTTTTATACTTTTAGGTGCCATTTAAACCAATGAGTTCTGGCTTTAAAACTAAATTTTCTTAAGGTTATGCCTAGTATGCAAAGCACAGTTATTAACATAAAAACAGAGCGCTTTAAGATACTAATGAGTTAAATAAAGTGATCAAACGTTCATCTAAATTCATTTATCATGATTATTATTATTGGAAAAATCATCTCTTATAAAATGGTGTCAGACATGAGTGTAATTGAAACTAAAAACAGACCAAACAGCAGACTAAAAACCAAACATGCTAGCAAAAGTTGGTTCTTCAGTGGCATCACTGCAAAAACACACTTTATTTACAAGATCATAGTTTCAGCCACAGTTTCAGCAAAATCCTTTTGATTTAAGACACTGTTGTGAAAAATATATAATGAAACATGGGAGTGGTTAAATAACTAAGCTTGAAAATTGCAGTTTCAAAGCACACAGTGGTTGATCCATGAACCATCAGTCTTGAGCCACACAAAAACAAAGAAGCCCAGGCTAATCCTACAGGCTGTCTCTGTAATGAGTGCAACAGAAAACAGTAAAATCATCAGCTTAATGCAGAATAACCCAATAAGTAACTAATGAAGTTCATGTTTCATTTGCAGGAGACTGTTGGCTTTTGGCGGCCATTGCGTCTCTGACTCTGGATAAGGAAATCCTGGAACGTGTAGTTCCATCAGGACAGAGTTTTACAGAGGATTACGCTGGCATCTTTCACTTTCAGGTCAGAACATGTTTTTAAAAATCTGAGACCACCAGGAAAAATCTGGGACTAAAATAAAAAAAAAAATGATACCATGCTGCTATACTGAAGTCCCTTATTTATTAGGGATCGCCACAGCAGAATGAACTGTCAACCATTCTGACATATATTTTATGCAGCAGATACCCTTCCAGCCCCATCCCTAAACTCAACTGTCATTGAATGATTAGCAAATTGTGCTAAAATGAGGTCATACACAGTCATACAAATAAGCCACTAAATAAAAATGTTACTACATTCTAGTGAGATTGCGTTGATAGGTTTGAGACAGACTTGCATAATGCTAGTCTATGGTCTTTATTTGCTCCCACATCAGTATCTACATTGACCATCAAATACTGTAGTTATAGCATACGCCTGGAAGAGATTGTATTGTTGACTTGCTGGGATGACACTATGGCCCAATCCCATCTCTATTTTTTTTACCCCTTCCTCTTGGCCCTTAAAACAGAGGCCCTGTTTACACTAGTGCGTTTTAATTATAAAACGGCGTTTTAGAATGAAAACGATCTGCGTCCACACTAGCGTTTTACCCAGCTTTTCTGAACTGCTCTCCGTCCACACCAAAACACTGAAAACACACATCACGTGACCACACACACACACACACTCTCGGGCAAGCGCTGCAGCATTTCTACCCAGATGAGAGCTGTGCTGGTCGGACTGCTCATCAAGCATCTCCCGCTGGATCTAATCTCACTATATTTGCTAAACGTGATATTTAATTAATCTTGTTGTCTATATCTAACGACATATTCCACGACTTTGGTCTTTTGAATCGATTCACAGATAACGTGTTTTGGCTGAGCGCAAAAGATAAGTTTTGCGCAAAGATAAGTTAATGATTAATGTAACCACGTACATTCTGTATATTGACTGATTGCTTTCCTTCATTTCCTATAATGTATAAACTTATTATGTGTTATACTTTCATAATGGCTATCCCTAGTAGCAAAGAATTCTGGCCCAGATTTGGCATAAAGCTGGCACAGCAGGCATTCATCCGGCACTGGCATACAGCATGTGGCCAAACATGGCCCAGGTTTGGCAGAGGCGGCACCGTCTTTAAGGCAGCACACAAGATTTGGGCCAGATGAAAAACGTAGTATTTAGCCCAGATTCAAAAATTTGATAAGTGGGCCATGTGAGTTTGGCCAGTCTTGACCCACATTTAAAATACACTAAAATCATTTTTGAGTAAAGAAAAAAAATTCTACCAATCTGGTCACTTTGAGAAAAAGCGTGCCCATAGTGTGCCTAAAGCGCATCACTCCGTGGGTTTCTCAATTTCATTGCAATCGTGACACACCAACCTATCTGGCCCTGTTCAGGCCCAGTTATGAGTTATTAACTTGGCTGAGACTTGGCCCAGATATGGTCCGTGTTTGGCCCTTGTCTGGAAGCCAGATTTGGTCCAGTCATGTACCGTAATTCACTGCGGCATGTGGGCCAAGCAAAACGTGGGCCAGAGAAATTTTGCTATGTGGGATATTATTGATTATTAAAACTGACATTCAGCAAAGCAAAGGATACGTTTAATATTTTCAATGAAAATGAAAGTGATGTTATATAGGCTCTGTTTTATTATAAATACAGTGAAGATGCAGCACGACGCCTCAGCATTTCTGCTGTCTGTTAAGTTGTTAGTATCTAAAATGAAAATAGCAGTTCCTTAAATCATGTTTTCATTTTATTGTTGAGAAAGTGAAACAACGTAGCCAGGATGATGTGAATGAAGTTATAAAGTACACTGTTCCCTTTGAAGATTTAGCGGACATGTCCTCGAGGGTCTGTTTTTCATATCAAACTTGCGAAGTCTGAACTTACAGGGAAAGGATGCGAGACTGAACGGTGTGTGTGTAGGTTACTTAATATTGAGGAAAAGCCCCAATCAGATTTTCCGTTTTCAGATGTCTCCGTTTTCCCCCATTCACACTGAGACGGAGCAGCAGCATTTTAGAATGAAAATGGCCTCTACAGCGTTTTCGAAACGCTAAGTTTTCTGTGCTCGAAAACTCTGGCGTAGTGTGGACGGATGGCGAAACCGTAGCAAAACTTATGTATTTTAGCCTAACTGTTTTAGTCAATAATATACCAATTACAAAATGTAAACATGTGGTTGTTTTCGTATCTCAGTTTTGGCAGTATGGCGAATGGGTGGATGTGGTCATTGATGACCGGCTGCCGACCAGAGATGGGAAGCTGCTGTTTGTGCACTCAGCCGAAGGCTCTGAGTTCTGGAGCGCTCTGTTGGAAAAAGCCTATGCAAAGTAAGTGTGGATAAACTGCTGCTACTTCCTGAAATGTAATAACGAACAACATGATTCTGAGTCATCTGAATCGCTTGGTAAACACTGTACCTGCAACCACATCCTACAAAACACACAACATGTCAAACATCCATGACGGTGGTGCTAATTCCTGTATTTCCAAGGGTAAATGGCTCATATGAAGCGCTGACAGGAGGTTCAACCACTGAGGGATTTGAGGATTTCACTGGAGGAATCACTGAGAACTATGAGCTGAGCAAAGCTCCTCCCAATCTGTTCAAGCTCGTACAGAAAGCACTGGCGCTGGGATCATTGCTGGGCTGCTCTATTGACGTGAGTCCCATTCATCATCAATTTGAGCTTATGACTCTTCTGGAGCAAGATAAATGCCATTTAAATACGTAATACTCCAGAGATTTTTAGTTAGATCTTTTACTAGAGCAGGTTAACAAACACAAATGTTCGGCTTTATTCATGAAGATCTAGATTAGAGGATACTAATTTACTTGTGAAATCCAACAATTTGCATGTGCTTCTTGTTTTGTTTGTCTCACCCACATGTAAAGGTATAGTCTACCCAAACATGAAAACTACCTCATCATTCACTAGTACTCAAGTGGTTCTAAACTTTGTGAACTTTATGAATTTCTTTCTTCTGTTGAGCATGAAAAATTTAACTCTGAAGAATGTTGAAACAAAGCAGCCATTGACATTAATAGTCAAGTAATATCATGTCATTGTCTGCCGTTTATCTGGATCCGGATTAAGCAGAAAACACCCCAGACAGCTCCTCCAGCTCCCCCAAGGGGATCCCAAGGCTTTCCCAGGCAATCCGAAAGACACAGTCTCTGGCTACATAGCAAAATTTCTCTGGCCCAGATCTGGCCCATACGCTCAGTTTTTGCTTGGCCCACATGCCGCTGTAAATTACGGTACATGACTGGATCATGTCTGGCATACACGGCCAAACATGGACCATATCTGAGCCAAGTCTCAGCCTAGTCAATAACCCAGAACTGGGTCAGATGTGTTGGTGTGTCACAACTGCAATGAATACGATAAACGCATGAAGCATTTTTTCTTAGGTGTGCTATGAGTGTGCTTTTTCTCGAGTGACCTGATTGGTAGAGTTATTTCTTTACTAAAAAATAATTTAAATGTATTTTAAAAATGGGTCTTGATACGCCAAACTTACGTGACTAACATATACATTTTTAACATCTGTACCAAATACTGCATTTTACATCTGGCCCAAGTCTTGTGTGCCACCTCTGCCAAACCTGGGCCATGTTTGGCCCACATGCTGTATGCAAGTGTAAATAAACACCTGCTGTGCCAGCTTTATGCCAAATCTGGGCCAGAATTCTTTGCTACCTGGGTGGGTTTCTTCCCGATGGGACAAGCCCAAAACACCTCCCCATTCTGGAGGCATCTAAAATAGATGTCCATGCCACCTCTACCAGCATCTCTTGACACATACATTGTAAGAACAAAAATACCAGGGAAGTCTATAGCTGTTTTTTCCCCAACATTCCTCAGTATATCATAAAATTGTGTTCAACAGATGAAAGCAACTCAGGTTTGCAAAAAGTGTAGGGAGAGTAAATGATGATAGAATGTTAACTTTTAGCTAAAGTATCAGGAGATAGAAGTGTGATTTTATTGGCTTAATTAAAATAAATGAGGTATACAAAAGAAAATAAACATTCATTTTGTTCTATTCTGTTCTATTTTACCATATTTTAGCTTTATTATACATTACTGTTCCTATATATATATATATACATATATATATATATATATATATATATATATATATATATATATATATATATGTGTGTGTGTGTGTGTGTGTGTGTGTGTGTGTGTATGAAATTTTAGAAACTTTATAAATGTATTTGATGTAACCTTTAATTAATAGAATGTGTCCTTGCTGGGTCATTTTTTTTTTAAATAATGAATAAAATGCATTTGTATGGTATTTTATGTAAATTTTACATCCATATTTTTAAAATGAAAATAAAATTCCCTATAATTTTATATCAGCAAAAATAATGCATTTATTCGATACTTTTAAAAAGAAAAATCACATTTATTACCTGAATATGTATCCCTAATAATAAATTAACACTTATTAACAATAATTAATAACAATAATAATAATAACTAAAAATGCCCAGAAACTAAAATAATCATGTGTAATTGTTTCACAGATTACCAATTCATATGAGACTGAGGCAGTGACGAGTCTGAAGCTGGTGAAGGGACATGCATACTCAGTCACGGCTGCAGAGGAGGTCAGAAAACACCACCAATACAACAATACAGACTCAACAGAAATAACTTTTATTGACTGTAAACATACCTGCAGGTTCACTTCAGAGGCAGTCTGGTTCAGCTGGTGCGAATCAGGAACCCGTGGGGTGAGGTGGAGTGGACGGGGGCCTGGAGCGACAAGTGAGTTTCCCAAACAAATAAACATAAGCTGTTTTCATCACCATATTTTAATGCGTATTTTGTAAACATATCTGAAGATCACAAATTATTTAGCCAAAGGTACATATGGCTGTATTTCATCTTTACATTGGGGTGGTATAACTACGGGGGTGAGACCGCTTACCTCCATATGGACGGCTAACGGATTCGGCATGTTACCTGAGGATGGAAAGGTGTCACGCAGGAAAGTGGAGAGCAAGGGGCGGGGGTGTGTGGGGTGAGGGCTGTCGGATGGCAGGAGGCTGGCGTGGACGAAGGACGAAAGTGAAAAGGACCGGGGTTGATGCGGACAAAAGTGAAGAGGGTTGGGGAGTTGCGGAAAAAAGTAAAAGTGAACAGCGGACGGGGCAGGAGGGCAGTCAAGGAGGTGGATCGGTAAAATCAGGTGCCCTGGCTTTGAGTCTGGGGAAGAATGGTTCCTGAAAGCAGGTAAGACAAAAACAAAAGCTAAAAAATAAAGCAAACAAGTAAATAACAGGGTGGTAAAAAGAACAACAAAAACAACAAACAAAATCAGGAGGCTTTCTTTTTGTGGATTGCTTTTTAAAACACTTTGGTTGGGTTTTGGGAAGGGGGAGGGTGGGCCAGTCAATCGGTCAGTCATTCAGTCAGTAGAGAGTCAGTCAACAGCGGCCTCTGGTGGATTTATGTGCTGGTGCGAATAGCACTCTCGAGATAAATTTGATATCTGAAAAAGCGTACACATCCGTCTCTGGTGGATTCGAGAAAACAAAAACTGCAAAAAAATGTAGGTCCTAGGACGTATTTTGCTCTCTCCAGAAATGTATATGAGGTATGCAATGAGCCTGGTTTGTCCGGAAAATTGCCAAAAACACCGGATTATGTCTGCCAGTCCAGTATCTTACCTTGTTAGTAAAATGTACCTGTAGGAAAGTGATAATGCGTCTCCAGCCCTCATCAGGCAGGTAAAGGTCAAAACAGGGACGTACAGGGGAATGGTCGGGACTTTGTAAACAGTAAAACAAAGCAAAAGTCAAAAACATAACAAGGCAAACACTTCATTATGCTCACTTACAGTTTACAAGACTCAAGCAAAGCTTGTGTGAAAGTGTGGTGTGTATATAGTCCAGGTAATTAATGAAGATGAGTTTCAGCTGTGTGTGTGTGTGTGTGTGTGTGTGTGTGTGTGTGTGTGTGTGTGTGTGTGTGTGTGTGTGTGTGTGTGTGTGTGTGTGTGTGTGTGTGTGTGTGTGTGTGTGTGTGTGTGTGTGTGTTTGTGTGTGTGTGTGTGTGTGTGTGTGTGTGTGTGTGTGTGTGTGTGTGTGTATGTGTGTGTGTGTGTGTGTGTGTCCGGACGACTGTCAGCTGTGGCAGGAGTGATTAGAGCCAAGACTTCTGACAGTTGTAGTTTAGTTCAGTGGCAGACCTTTAGTTTTCCAGCGATCTGCAACTGCTAGATCGCTGGTGATCATAACACACATATTAAAAAAGGGGAATAGAATCTTGAAAATACTATAAAAACAAAAATGTCTTTTTCAGTTCCAAAGAGTGGGACAGTGTCCGACCAGAAGAGAAAGCTAAACTGGATTATTCAGCTGAAGATGGAGAGTTCTGGTAAGATTTTTATTCCTATACTCCAACTCAACACGTAACTTCACTAATGACTAATCTTCTAACTAATCTTCTTCGTCCTCTCAGGATGGCGTATTCTGACTTCATACAGCAGTTCTCCAAGTTGGAGATCTGTAATCTGACTCCTGACACTCTTTCGAGTGAAGAAGTGAATCGCTGGAGCTACAGTCAGTTTGAAGGCAACTGGAGGGTGGGCTCCACTGCGGGAGGCTGCAGGAACAACCCTGGTAGATCCAATCATCCACAATGTGCTTGAAAACAAGCTTTGTTTGCACTGTTCAACTGTTTGGTTTCTTCTCTCCAGCAACGTTCTGCTCAAACCCTCAGTTTATGATCAAGCTGGAGGAAATAGATGATGATCCTCATGACGGAGTGAACGGCTGCACATTCCTAGTGGGTTTGATACAGAAAGATGGTCGTAAAGACAAGCGCTTTGGACGAGACCTAAACACCATCGGCTTTGCCATCTATAAGGTAATTTGCACAGGACTATCACTTATACTTCTGAAACAAGTGATATTACGTGCGACAGCTTGTGAATAATGAATAATGTCAAATGTTTTTGTGTTTTTCAGGTTCCGGATGAGGTATTTATGAACTTCATTCTTCTTGGACACAAGAGTCACTTGACACCACTTATTTAACCTGTCTTTTTTTCAGAGAGCCCCTAAAGCAATGGTCTTTAACTCAATTCCTGGAGGGCCGCAGCTTCTGCATAGTTTACTGTAGCTCCAACTCTAACCTGATTAATAGTCTCTTGTAGTCTTGAACACCCTTGATTAGTTGGGTGAGCTGTGTTTGATTAGGTTTGGAGCAAAACTGTGCAGAACTGCTGTCCTCCAGGAATACAGTTTGAGACTTATGCCCTAAAGGGACATGGCCATGGTTAAAAAAGAAAAGAAATGGAGATTATTGTGAGACTTTTGATTGTAGAACTTGTGACTTGGAAAGCACAATCGTTTTGTGAAGTTTCTTGGAACAATGCAATGCATTTGTGAGAGAAAACCAAATTTGTATAAAGAATAGGGATAAAGTTTTTTCAAGAGTTCACACTTAGCTGATGATTGATAATAAAGCTTGTTTGGCATGTTGTCCCTGGAGGGAGTCCTGAGCTCATAAGATTCTCAAGCCCTGGGCTCCCTGAGATGGGAGTTTGAGCTCAGGTAGATCTCGAAGAACTACCCCGACTTATTTCTGGCTAATGATAGATATAGGGATGGCTAATGAGAGATATATGGCTTACTAAGAGGTCGACTATGATGCCAATTTAGAATGTTCAATTTATTCATGTCGCATGTTTTTGGACCGTGGTAGGAAACCAGGAAATCCGAGGGAAACCCACGTGAACACGTGGAGATCAGACAAACTCACACAGAAATGTAGACTGGTTCGTTAGGGACTGTAACCTTTGACATTCTTGCTGTGAGGCAACAATGCTAACCACTGGGCCACCGTGTCACCCAATCTAGAAAGGAGGAGTAGTAGGGGTGGCAGGGTTTTTTCTCAAGACAAAGATACTGAGGTTAGAATCTCTAGTTGTTTATATTAAATCAGGAATGGTTGGTGAATCATGTGTTAGTCAATGCGGGACCAGCCATGGATAATCATAAGCATGTGATCCTCTCGAAATTAGTTCATAAATAAACTTCACTTTATGAAACAACATCAGTCAGCAATATTGGAAGCAAATAACGTAAACAATAGCACTGAACTGAAGGAGATGTGCAAATTTAGCTGATTATTGCTGCTGAAAACGATCAATTATTGTCATGTTTTGGAATGTGCTGATCGGTCGGAGGAGAAAAAAACATTTAGACTGCCATAAGTTATTTCAAATCAAGCAGAAGATAGAGAAAAGACTGAGAAACAAAAGTTGAAGCAGGATTTTATTCATGTTTGTTCTTAGCATTTCAGGTTAAATAAGTGAAATATTAGGCTAACATCATAATTAATACTCCTCGTTTACTGTCTATTAATTTCAGTTTGTCAACATATTGCACACTTTCCTGCTTGCTAAGTCTTTCTATATGGTTTAGCAGTTTGTTTTCAGTGATTTAGACAGCAGAAATAGGCAAAAAAAAAAAATTTTCAGCAGTACATTTGCTGTGCAATTAATGCTGTGGTTTGCATGCAAGTATCTCCAGTATGGCCACACGTACAGATAACTAAATCAGGACATTAGTGCAAATCATGTATGTTTTTGCAAGACACTTGTTGAAATATCTAGCCAATTCCACGCATGTTCAATAAAATAGGTCAGGGGAGGATTTTCTTAAATATCAAACATAATAGTAATTTATTCGATACAAATGAATAATTCAAGGACAGAGCTCTGGGTTACGTTACCCCAATGCAATACAAGAATTACATTCAGGAGGTTCACAATTGACTTACATTTGCCTGTCTCCAGCATATATACACAACTGATATTAACTGGTGGAGTTTTGGTGTAACGCCACTTATCAGTCATTCTGCAGTCCTTTTGCTCTTGTACCCTAAACATACTTCCTCTTTCTGCAACCCTTCTCTACATACCAGAACTGAACAGTTAAGTGCATCTTCAATATATTTCACAACTTCTACAAGCATGATGCTCCTTGTGACATGTCTAGACTTCTTATTAGACAGTAGTTGGGAGCAAGGGCCTCCACATTATTTTATTCTTATTTTGCTATTTCCCCTTTTGCTAGCAGTTCCTTCTAAGAAGTAGAAGAAAAAGTATGCTTGGTCAATCTATAGTTTCATACAAAAGAATCTGTTATTAGTCTAAATATTATTTATCTAATAAAAAATAGACATAAAAGTAGTAAAAATAAATTCCTTTTTCACTACACACTACAAAAGTGTTGTGAGAAAACCTTGATGCATTTAAATATTCTTCCCACCTTTTCGACATTTTGTATCACCATGTCACATGGTACATTTTAATCCATTTTACATCATTGTGTTTGCAGTTAAAGGGTCGCAGCAATATTCATCTGGGCCCTGATGTCCTGCTGCGTCAGCGTTCAGTTGCTGGGAGCAACACCTTCATCAACCTGCGAGAGGTGAGCGAGCGCTTCAAACTGCCTCCGGGAGAATACATCATCATCCCCTCCACCTTTGAACCGCACCGCAAAGGAAGTTTCATTCTGCGGGTGTTCGCAGAAAAAGAGGCAGATGCTAGGTTTGTACTAGTTTTTTCTTCTCCTTTTCCCCCACAAATTATAATAGCACTTTGCATAGCTTGTCAGACTGTATAACCATGATCCCCATACCTGCCAACACCCCCGTTTTTCCTGGGAGTCTCCTGTATTTCAGACCCATCCCCTGTTTTTTCATTTTTTCTAAGAGGCAACACTCTAGTGCGATTTGGTAAACAGCCACTAGAGACTGCTAGTGTCACGAAGTGGCCATTTTAGAATGAAAACTCCAAAAGAACAACGGCATATTATAAGCCTGTAAAATAAACTATTAAAAGTGCTGATGATTGTAATAGTAAGTGTTATATTGTCGACTTTCAGGTTGTATCTTAGCTTTAATGCGCTTTGTAAAAAATAAATTAAAAACAAAGCAGCTGCTTATCATCATGATCCAATGGACAGTCGATTGCTTTCACTCTAAAATGGTGGAATCGATTAGCCGTTGCTGGGCTCTGCTGTTGCAATGGAACGTTCTATTGAGTGTTGCCTCTTGGTGATTCTAAGCTCTTTGATAACATGAAAGTGAGTGAGTGAGTGAGTGAGTGAGTAAGTGAGGGCCTACTCACACTATGCCATCCGTACCGTGCCCAGGCCCGTTTCCCGGATCATTTGAGAAGTGTGAGTGCGCTGAATCGGGCTCAAGCACGGTTCACTTGGCCGGCCCTGGCCCGGTTGGATGAGGTGTGCCTGAGCGCGGTTCACTTGGGCTTTGGCGCGGTACGCTTGTGTGTGAGTGCAAAACGTGGCAAAGCCCGAAACTGAAAGCGAGACGTGACTTTTAAGGGACTGTTTCATATGGATTTATTGATCATTCTTACTGTTCAGTGAACGCAAACTGCCGTAGTTTATTAAAGACGCAAACTCCTCACTTCACGACAGCTGCGCGCCTTCAGCAGACCTCCTCATTCCTGCAGCACGAGGGCTTTATGATTGTTTATGAGTGCCAAAAGTGGCGGATCTGTTCGGCGAAATATCTGACTGCGTGTCCCTGCATCCCTAAGGACTGTTTGGCGAAATATTTGACGGCATATCAAACGACTGAAACGATATAACTAGAGAAATCTCCACTGTGCTGCTGAGTGAGAGAGCGCTTCTCACTGAACAGCCCAGCAGCGATGATGTAAGCGTGCCGAAGCCTGTTTGTGGTGTGAGCACGGGCCGTCGGGGGAGCCAGGAGGGGGGACAAGCGTGCTTTGGCCCGGTTCGAGGCAACTGTACCTAGTGTACGGCCTAAGTGAGTAAGTGAATGAGTGAGCGAGTGAGTGAACCTTGTCAAGTTTTACCCATACTCATGATTGGTTCTATGCTTTGAACCTATCAAAGTGCACACACACATTTTGAGTGAAGAATGAGACACACAAACACAATCACACACTGTGAGCTTACACCCAGAGCAGTGGGCAGCTATTGCTTCCCATGCCTGAGGAGCAATGTGGGGTTAGGTGCTTTCCACAATCTTCAAAACACCATGAGGAAATGTTGAAACATTTTTTTTTCTACTAATGTTATCAAGGAATGCTTTGAGTAAAGTTAACACGGCAGATGGTTTTATGTTTGCTGTGTGGTTTCATTTTGAAGCTCGTGTTACTGAAAGTGTTGGATAGATGACTTCAAACTCCAGATGAGTCTTGTGAGTGTATGTAATTGATGAGTTGACTGTTATTCAAGTTGGTTTCCAATATGAAGGGCTCATCCCTATGCCCTAATTCTTTTGAAGGGTCCCTCTGAAGGGATTATAGAATAGGAATGAGCCCTTCAGAACTGAGTGCAGTGTGTGACACCAAACAGCTTGCCTGCTCAAAGGATCATTTCCAGAAGTGTCTTTCACTGATCACTTCTGTTTGGAATGACAATATATTACATTTGGAACACACCACCATCTTGAAATTATGACAACTGAGATGTTATATTCTGATATGGTGTTCATGTTTCTGAAGTCTGACAAGCTACAATTGTAAAGGATTTTTGTAAATCACACACACTCTGAGCTGAGCTTTAGTTTAAAATCATGCATTCAAATTTGAACCACACGGTGTCAGTGTTGCACAGGAGACCCATCTAGACCCAAACAAATCATATTGTACCTTGAACTTTCTAGTTTTAACATTCAAATGAATGATGAACGTGTTTCTGATTTTCATTCCTGCAGCCAGATTGGTACAGAGATCAGTGCAGATGTGAAAAAGGTGTGTTTATCTTTGATTTATAGAGTACAAAACACAGACACACTCACACAAATACTTGCAAATATGGTTTATGAAGACTCCAGAGACGCAATGTACTTTAAACTGTAAAAACTGTTTATTAAATGACCGTATCCTACCCCTAAATTTAATCTGGAAACCAAGAAATTGCTAAATTGGTATGCCAAAAGTGTATGCAAGTCCTCATAAACCAGAATAACAGAATACAATTACAGTAGATCATACTCATGTCATTATACAATTTTGAAACATTAATGTATAATTTTACATAACATAATACAAAATAATCCACATAATCAAGTACAGACACATTATATAAATTACATACTGTATATAACACATTTAACCTTGTGTTCCTATTTTCTTTTAAACAAACATTCAAGGTGCATTTTTTTCCTTCCTAGCATTTCATATCTGAGAAAGATATAGACCCACATTTCAAACGCCTCTTCAGTCAGGTTGCTGGAAGCGTAAGTCACAACTGGTCAATATAAATTTGAATCATTATCATGATTTTTCCCAGTTAGCATGATCTTCTCTTCCCTCTGTAGGACTCTGAGGTCTCTGTATTGGAGCTCCAGCAGATCCTGAACACCGTTGTCTCGAAACGTAAGAAAACACATTAACTTTTTTTTATTGACATATTTTAAATGTCTGAATTTTGCATTGGAAACTGCCTTGAAATAACTTCACCATCCTGCTGATAATTCTCACCTCAGGATCTAATGTGAAGACAGACGGATTCAGTTTGGAAACCTGCCGTCACATTATCAGCCTGCTAGATGTATCCTTACCTCACTGGTTCATTGAATGGAAACTACAGATGTTATTGAAGAAACTAATTTAAAGATATGGCAGCATCTGCCTGTATTCATTTCTCTAGTGTACTTTGCATCATTAGGCATTTTAACCCTTGACCCCAGTGCAGAAAGATGGCAGTGGCAAACTCGGCCTTCTGGAGTTTCACACACTGTGGATGAAGATCCAGAAATATTTGGTAAAATTTATATTTCGATCAAATTTTAAATGAATTACTTTCAGCCTTACTTTTTGAATGATGATAATAATAAAATAATAATAATCATCATCATCATCGTTCAGTTTGATGTTAAAGCTATTGTTTACCTCAGCGCCAGGTGGTACTAAACCTCAATGAAGATATTTTGAATGTTGGAAACTGGTAACCATTGACACCCATAAACGCTAAAACATTAAAGTCAAACAGTATGGAAGTCAGAGGTTTCCAGCATTCTTCAAAATCTCTTTCTTTGTGTTCAAAAATCTTTGAAACAAGTGAAGAGAAAGTTAATTATGACAGAATTGTATTATAAATAATTTATATGTAATGTATATAATTTTTTGGGTGAACTATCCCTATTAAATACCAAATGTGTTTTTTTTTCTGTCACCTCACAAGGAAATTTTTAAGCACCGCGATACAGACAACTCAGGTACCATGAGTTCTCTTGAGATGCGAGATGCGGTAAAAGAAGCAGGTAATGAGTTTTTTTTAGGAAGATAAATTAAAGTGAGTGTGAAGCTAAAGTTACTAAGACTTTTATTTCAGCATGTTAACAAACTTCCCTCTGAAACTGAATATTCAGTAGGAGGGGGCGCTTTCTTTTTGCGCATCATTCCCTCATAGCATACTAACAGTAAGAGTGGTGTAGTTAAGAAAATTGTGTCTGAAGCATCAAACTGACATCATCAGAGAAGGTCTGCCACTTTAAACACTGACACGAATGATCAGATTTGATTGAAGATTACCAAAACAACCAAGAAACAGAAATGTGCACACATCTATGAATTTCAAAGGCAGGTGCTCGATAAAAAAACAAACACAGTAGCAAAAGTTTAAAAGAAAATTGGCACACGGCCACTTTAGCTCTCAAAAAATTTAATGTCACAATGTTTCGACCAACATGGTCTTCATCAGGTTGATGACCATGATGAACCAAAACAAAAAATGCTTTACAGTGGATTAACTTTCACAGATTATTTGTTCACATAAAGAATAGCAATGTGCGCTAGCAAAATAAACATTGTCAATTTTGATTTCACATGTATTTTAAGAATGCTTTTCTGGTAATAAATAAATAAATAAAAATAAATAAATAAATAAATAAATAAAATGAGTAATAATTTTAGTATAATTTATTATCATTTGTTTGTGTTTTTCTGCACAGGGTTCCAGCTGAACAATGATGTACTCGAGGTGCTGATCGCACGATATGCCAACCAGGAATACGCCATTGACTTTGATAGCTTCGTCAGCTGCCTGATCCGCCTCGAGCTGCTCTTCAGTAAGTATATTCATGTCAAAACTAAACTCTGATAAGTCCTATCCAATCTGCTTCCAACTACATGTATGCATGTTTACTGCTGCATATTTTATATGTCTGTGAAGATGATGCCTTAATATGCTACTTTTGAAGAGGCTATATGAACATAAAGTTTATTATTATTATTATTATTATTATTATTATTATTATTATTATTACATGGTGCAGGTGATTGGTTGCTGTCGCCTTAGTAGCCAATGAACTTGCTCCTGAACACTTAAATAGCTCAGTGTTGTTTTTGTTAGCATATTTTTGGATTCCCAGCTCCACCTGTGTATAGATCTGCTATGAGGGTTACATGTATGTTGTGTCTGCAGCATGCATGTGTTATATTTGTTAGACAGTAATTTATAAATATACTGGCAGTACAAGTCTTTTCACTTGCACTCTGCGCCAGTAATCAAAGCAGCAGCAGCGTAGCAGGTTTATGTCGCCAAACACACTAACATTGCCATTTATTCATTTATTTTCCTTCGGCTTAACACCAGGGGACCTTATTTAACAGGGGTCACCACAGGAGAATCTACCACCAACTATTCCAGCATATGTTTTACACAGTGGATACCCTTCCAGCTGCAACCCAGAACTGGGAGATACCTATACACTCTCACACTTACACACACACTCATACACTACGGCCAATTTAGTTAATCCAATTCATCTGTACTGCATGTCTTTGGACTGTTGGGAAAACTGGAGCACACGGAGGAAACCCACACAAACACGGGGAGAACATGCAAACTGCACACAGAAATGCCAACTGAGAAGCTGGAACTCAAACCAGCGACCTTCTTGCTGTGAGGCGACAGTGTTAACCACTGTTGCCCAACATTGCCATGTACTGTAGATGTTTATTAACATACACAGCTGTCAGTGCAGAAATGTTTGTAGTGAACTGAAGTTTGGTTTACTGTAATGTTTTCATCTGTGCTCTACGCAGAAATGTTTCAACTGTTCGATAAGAAGAACACAGGGAAAATCGAACTGGATATCCTGCAGGTGATGCACATGTGTGGATGTAGATTTCAGTACACTCCTGATGAAGCGGGATTATTCACAGATGTGTTGTTTTGTGTGTTGCAGTGGCTCTGCCTGGCCCTCAGTTGATAATTCACTTACAGTAACAGCACTAGACGTCCTTTTATTTCCTGCAATTAAACTGAGGAGGACACAGCAGACCTGGATGAAGACCAAAGATGAATCTATTTATCTAAACCTTGAATTGGATTCAAAATGCAATTTTGCTTATGGTGCTCATCTGCTGAAAATAAAACCTTCTACTACAAGAATTAAAAAGACTAAATTACCTTTTTTTACATGTTTGAAAAAAAGTTTTAGTGATTTGATGTGTCTTTACAAGTATAGGGTGTGGCTTAAAAAAATAACAACCCCAAAATCAATGTTTTTCTTGCACTAACTATTTAGTTCCAGTTTGGTTATTTTTTGGGAAACAAATAAGCTTTGAGTATGTTCTGTACATTTCTTTTACTGTTTGTACCCCTATGTACTGTTGGGGATGTTTTCATTCACTCTAGGCTGGTTTTGTGTCTTCATTTGGCCATAACTTTTTTTGTGTATCAGGGAGCAGAATGATTTTTGGTGATAAATCTTATTGTGACACATATTTTGAGAAATTCTTTTTGAAAAAACTCAACGATACTCTCTGGGTAAATTTACTATCCTTTATTATGTTAGTGATGAAACAATCCACTGAATTAAACTGCTGTAAAAATGCATCAGATTTTTAGCATAAATCTGATAATCAACCTCAGTTCTGATCAAAACTACTAAAATGTTTTTAAAAATTACAGGATTTTAACTCTTTACTTGCCAAATTCATAAATGATGCCACTGATTCGGTGAAAAAAAATTCTGTGTTTTCTACATAAAAATTAATTGTGGACTTTTTATTTTACGTTTTATCATGTCTTGGACAATCGCTTTTGATGCATCGTTTTTAATTAATTTTCTTTTTTTTTCTTTTACTAATTTACTGTTGGTGGCTGTTTTAGCCCCATTGACTTCCATTATAACCTCTTTGTTTAATTACAATTCCTTGACACCATATAATCATGCAGTTTTGATTGTTGGTGGTTTCTTTCTGTTGGGAAGAGGTCAAGTCTGTAATTTTGTCTGTTAATCATCAGATGGCACCATTAACCCTTTAGATAGGCCATGTGCAAAAAAAAAAAAAGCTTAGTTTCTGGATTTTATATGGAGTATAACAGCAAGTTAAAGTGTGTTTATGTGTGTCTGAGTGTGTGAGTGTGACAATTTTTGTGAATTTGCCAATTAAAAAGTTAAAAATCATGTAATCTTCTAAACAATTTAGTAGTCTTTTTATGGTAAAGTCTGCTGAAACCCTGAGCCTATACAAAAAGGGAATTGTTTGTTTTTCTTTAATCACTATATTCTCTAAAGATTAGACTAAAGAATGAAATTCTCAAAAATAAGACAACAACACAGATTACCTTGGCCATGCATATTGTATTTTGTAGCAGTTTTTTTGGAGATGGCTCTTTCATTTTGTTGCATTTTGTTTGCTGCTTTTCCTCAGGTCATGTCTGTTTGTTCATTTTTAAAAAAACTAAAGCTCTGAATATAATTTATGTTAGTCAATTTAATACAATTAATTAATCTAGTTAAAGTTTTTGTTGTTATTGTTGCCAAATCTTATACAGGAAACAGGGAGATGAAATATAGTTAACATCTCATACAAATAATACAGAGACAATGAAACAACTACAACAGCAAAACATCCATGTTAAAGTCTTTTTAATATTATTATTATTTTATTTATTCTTTGATAACATAAAAAAACCTACACAGGAAAACGGCAGTGAAAGTGACAATATTGATAGTAACTTAACAGAGCAAATTAGGTTTAATATAAATGATAATATGAATACAGTAAAAAAGAAATAAAATAGTAATAAAAATACAGTAATCATAAGGAAAGACATGCATCAGTGATGTTTTCAAAATAATTAGGATTCGTTCATTTTCTTTTCGGCTTAATCCCTTTATTAGGGGTCATCACAGCGGAATGAACCGCCAACTTATCCAGCATATGTTTTACACAGCGGATGCCCTTCAAGCTGTAACACATCACAGGCAAACATCCATACAATTTCATTCACACACATAGACTACAGACAATTCAGACTACCCAATTCACCTATACTGCATGTTTTTGGACTTGTGGGGGAAACCGGAGCACCCGGAGGAAACCCACGCAAACACGGGGAGAACATGCAAACTCCACACAGAAATGCCTACAGTGCCAGCCGAGACTCAAACCAGCGACCTTCTTGCTGTAAGGTGAAAGCGCTACCCACTGCGCCACCGCATCACCATAACTATCATAATATTCCAAAAATCTATCACTTTTCTTGTTTTTAACCAGTCTAAGAGATTTATACATCAATTTTAATTATAAAAAATATGAAAAGAAAGCAGCAAATTTGAGAATTGTTATATACCAATAAAATATTTCCCAAACAAAATTAAGAAATTAATAGTTTTTTGGTATATTAGTTTTACACTTATAGTAACAAATAATATCTTGAAATGGAAAGGGACTGGAAGAAACTATGTAATTACCTATATGAAGATATATAGGCTATCCATGTTAAAGTCTTTTTATTTCACTTTTTTCTGCATTTGTAAATTGCAATTAAAAGAAAACAGGCATCAAAATCAAAAGTTTCAAAGATAACTAAAATAAATTCAAGTACAAAAATTAATAAAAAAATATATCATAATAACCTAAAATAGATATAGAGCTTGTACATTTTTTTTTACATCTTTAAGACACTTAAAAAAAAAAGAGTTCTCTTCCACGTTAAAGTCTTTATTACATTCATTCATTGATTCATTTCCTTTTCGGCTTAGTTCCTTTATTAATCTGGGGTCGCCACAGCGGATTGAACCGCCAACTTATCCAGCACGTTTTTATGCAGCTGATGCCCTTCCAGCCGCAACCCATCTCTGGGAAACATCCATCCACACACACTCATTCACACAAAGACTCATACACTACAAACAATTTAGCCTACCCAATTTACCTGTACCGCATGTCTTTGGACTGTGGGGGAAACCAGAGCACCCGAAGGAAACCCAAGCGGACTCAGGGAGAACATGCAAACTCCACACAGAAATGCCAAGCCGACCCAGCCAAGGCTTGAACCTGCGACCCAGCGATCTTCTTGCTGTGAGGCAGCAATACTACCTACTGTGCCACTGCGTTGCTGTCTTTAAATATATTTTTAAATTAGTTATAGCAGAATTTAACAAGAACATGCAAACTGCAATAATAATAATAATAATAATAATAATAATAATAATACCTAAAACAATGTATACAAAAATAAAATAAAATAAAATACCATCCCCTAAAGTTTTTTTTTTTTGCATCTGAATGTTTTGTTCTTTTATTAATTTATTTTTTATTGTAAATATGTACAAATTTAGTAAAAGAATATACATCTCACAACAATTATGAACAAATAAAACTAAATAAAAATGAGAGAAATTATATTAGTTATACAATCAAAGTATATGTCTTGACATGTATATGGTATTTTCCTATTAATATTCCATCTTCTCAAAGTCTTTTTAATTTTTATTTTTTTGCTTATGTATTATAATTTTTTTTTTACATTTATTATATAACAGAATGAAACATGATTATTTTAAAATAAATATATTTAGATTATTTACAATGGTGCTAATAAAGAGATGAAAAAAAGATAAGCAATAAAAAAACGGAAATCAAACAAAAATTAAAGAGATATCAATAGGTCATCTAATCTGAGAATATATATGTAATAGAAAAGAAATTGGGAGTGAAGAGGGTAAAAAATTATGATAGCAGCAATTTAGAGATTTAATAAATTAAGTTTATACATATTAAAGGTTGTGCAAATATGTTTTGAGTGCTTTCTTGTTAAGTCAATCTGGAATTGTAAGTATTTTTAAATCTCTTTTAGAAATGCTATAAATAATGGCCGTCTCCTTAAAGTCTTTTTTTTTTTTTATAAACTTTTATTTAGAAAAGAAAAAATGTACAATATTAATCAGGAAGTAATCTGTAGAAGACTGGAACACAAGAATATACAATTACAAAGTCATAAGAACAATAAAAAAAAGTAATAAAAAGAAAACAAAATAAAGGAGAAGTACAAAATTAAATTAAATGAAAAATTACAGAAAGCATTAATTACTAACACACTGAAAGCATTACATTTTCATTATTATTATTTCATTATTATTTTGTTATATTTTTTATTAACTTGCAGAATTTTTTGTTTGACAGACGTATACCTTTAAGCAAGGAATCAAAATAAAAAAAATGGGCAGTTGAGGGGAGGATTTAAGAAATTTTCGTTTGTGGATAAAGAATTTTGCATATAATGTAAAGAAGTTAATATATATATATATATAAATATTCTTCATTTTTATTCTTGGGACTAGAATAATACCAAATGATATCTTTCAAATTAAAAATATGTATCCTTAAAGTCTTATTAAAATCAAAACATAAAATGACGTCACCCCTGACTACGCCCTCTGCTTTTAACGCCGTGTATTTTGAGGTGAGGCGCGCCGCGCGTTCACTGTTTGACGGACACTCGCAGAGATGTCAGGAATCGCTACAAAACTCCAAAAGAACCGGGCTCGAGCGGCGGGCATCGGTACCAACGCTCAAGCTGCCAAATTCCTCAACCAGGACTACGAAGCCCTCAAACGAGAGTGTCTGGAGTCCGGACGCCTGTTTCAGGATGGCATGTTTGAAGCCAATGTGTCTGCCCTTGGGTTTAAGGAACTGGGACCAAACTCGTCTAAAGTGCGAGGGGTTGAGTGGCTGAGACCCAAAGTAAGCATGAGACAACCCTTTCATTTATTAATAAACAATATTTAATCATATTTCATCAACAGTTACATATAATATAGATGTATAGAGATATATTTAGATATAACTGATGAAATATGATATAAATATGATAAAATGTTACACAAATAACTTAAAATAATACAATATATGCATATTACTTTCAATACTATTTAATAAATATTATATAAATATACTTAATTGAATCATTAAATATAGTTAATTTAAGCTAATAATTACATTGAAGTTGTGCTCTAAGTTTGTTATTATTATTATTTTTTATTAAAGGAGTTTATATAAATATAATTTAATAATACATTAAATTTTAATTGAGTCTATCTCCAGTGTATTTCCTGATGTTTTGACCTGAACATTGCTAATTAATCTGTGTTCAATAAAGAAA